GGGCAGCGACGGCCAATGTCGGAAATACCCGAGCGACTTCGCCCCGCAGAAGCGACAGGGAGTCCACCGCACAGCCAACTGCCGAAGGACGGCTAAGAGTCATGCGCGAGCTTTCCCAGGCCGCCAGTCGGGAGGGCAGCTGGCGCAAGCGCACTCGAGGGCGTACAAGTCTGGAGAGCTCCTCTCCTGTTTTCCAGGGGATGGCTGGCGGTGTCAAGTTTGAAAAGAGGGGTGGGCGGTGACGGAGAGCTCACGCCGCGCGGCAGAGCAGCAAGTTTAAGGCAAGGGAGGCTGATGCTGCAGCTGGCGTGTTTTGGCGTACGGTGGAGACAGGGACGTGGACGGGCGTGAAATACCGCAGGAGCGATTGCCGGTTTGGAGGAAGAGTGTGGAATCTGGAATAGTTGAAAGGACACAATTCCCGTCTACTCAGGATCCATGCTGTGCTGTTTGTTTCGTTTCAGCCACGACTCGCCAGGACTAATAATTCGCTTAATAAATCCCCGTGCGGCACTAGTCCAAGTTTTTGAGATCACGGAACCCTCTTTAGCCCTGTCTGCAACAAAGGAACCATTACGAAAAAGAAATCAGCCCCTCTTCTGCTTTCTTCTCTCCCCTGCTTCTCCACCTTTCAGTCTCCTTCACTCCCCTGGGTCCGCCGCTTCTCGTGTCCAACTTCCCTCCTCCGGCTAGAAGGGGTGGGTTAAATTTATTTTTTTTTTTTTGTCCAACAAGGAATGCTTGGAGCCCCACCCGCCGGATTTCTCTTACACTCAACTGCTGTCAAGCTTTTTTTCCCTGCTGGTAAAGTAGCCTAAAGCAGCGGAGAATGGGGTGGTCAGGCAAAAGGAGGGACTTGGATTGTCCTTTAATAGCAGGACAAATGAATGTAGACCTCCCATTAACCCTCAACTCTGACATACTGGGAGGACAGTGTGGGTTCTTCCCCTTCCTAAATACTGTATGCACCTGAAATGTTGCTCAGTTTTGTTATAGAGTGTGTAAATCCCAGCCTGAGCCCTAACTGTTTGGTGTATTGGTTAAGGTGTTGGCCTAGAAACGAGGAGACAGTGAGCTCTAGTCCCCCCGCTTAGGTGTGAAAAACCGGCTGGATGACTTTGGGCCAGTCACTCTCTCTCAGCCCAGCTCATACCACAGGGTTCCTCTTGTTGCGTGGAAAGTAGAAGGAGGAAGGATGTTTGCAGCCTTGAGGAGGGATAAAAATCTTTAAAGCTGTTACAGTAATTATTATGCCATGTTGTTTTACCTAAAAATTTTATGAAAAGTCTTTTCTTGTCTATGACTAATAAAGTCTAGAGTGCCTCAAATGCTCTATTTTGACCCTCGCCATCAATGTGACATGGCATAGTACATTACGTGAACTAGGCCAGTGGCTAGGTCTGCCTGCTGTACACAACGATATGTTCTGATTTGTTTGTGGCTAAGTATGATCTGATTATAGCTTACTTCTTTATGAAAAGGCCACAACAGCTTGTTCAGTACATTGTGGTTAAAAAGTGGACTTTGCATGATGAATCTATAAATCAGACTGCCTATGGACTCAACACAGTGAGTTTCTTGTGTCTGGCCCTAATAATTTGCATGCTGTGCAGTCATGTCAATTAGTAAAACCATGGTTTACATGACTTTGTGTATTCTGTGAATTCAGCCAGTTGAGGCTTATTCAATAAATAGTAAAGGAAAGCACAGCCTAGAGCACAAAGTGAACATAGCTTCTGTTTTATTAATACATTTCAGTTATTATATTGAAGGGTACTACTGACAGGACCCTAGGTATCCTGCAGTGTGGTATCATCGCAATCACAATATTGGACCAGGACTGAGGAGGTTAAAACTCAAGTCCATCCTCAGCCATGGAAGCTCACTGGGGGATTTCAATCTGTTGCTGTCACTAGACCAACCTACCTCACAGGGTTATTATGAGGAAAAACTGGAAGAGGAATACTATGTAGAATGCCTTACACTTCTAGAGCAGTGTTTCTCAACCTCAGCAACTTTAAGATGTGTGGACTTCAATTCCCAGAAATCCCATGTGTTCTGACTAGGGAACTCTGGGAGTTGAAGTCCACACATGTTCAAGTTGCTGAAGTTGAGAAACACTCCTCTAGAGGAAAAGCAGGATATATTGTTTAACTGCATCAGCCATCAAAATGATGGAGTTATTTTCCCAAATTACCTTATTGAAATAGAGAAAAACTAAAAGAAAAGGAGGAGTGTACTTGCACGTGTTCGGACTTCAAGCTCAGTTCTAATACACATGGCTGGATCAGGTATTTTTCTGCCTGAACCATAAATTGATGTCCCCTTCCCCAGCTCCATGTACCAGAAGCAACTAGGATGGCAGGTGGAATCAAGTGCCAGCAGCCCAAATAGTATATACAGTTCAATTATCTAATATCTCAGTGTCTTTCCCTGCCTTCCAGGCTCTCGTGGCCACTTCACTCTTTCTGACACAAGCACTAGTTCTGCTGGTACAAACAATTCTTGGGCTAACTATTAGCTTAGATCTGACACAGTCATTAAAACACATTAATGGTGCTATTTGTCCCTTGAAGCCATGCATTTCGGTGGGCAAGGAAATCTGGTTAGGCTTTATGGTTTATTAAAATAAATGCATATGTGATTCTCTGAAACAATAGGAAAAGTTACATTATTTAATCAATACTGTATCAATTCCATGCATGCCCCGATGGTGGTATGTTCTATGATAGGCAGTCAAAGAAGTAAGTGTGTGAGAGAAATGAGCATACTGAGATTCACATCAGGCTATTTCCTACTATTGCAAAGCATAATGATTGGGTGGTCATTATTCTTATTCTGCTCTGTTCACTTTTAATTCTCATTTCTCTGTTCTGGAACTGGAAAATAAATTGCTGGCGCTGTAAAGCATTTAGCAACTCGTTTTCAGTTGGTGATATATTCAACACAAATGAGCGTGAACTATAGAGAAAACAAGACTTCCATTATTTGCCCCTCCTTAAAATCATCCACTCTCCATCATTATGACAAAAGAATGTCTGGTATGCAAGTATGGCTGAAACAGATCCCCATCGTTTAGTTATAAACATGGATTCTGAACTGAAATCAGGGATTTCTGACAAAAGAGGCCAACTTCTAAAAAGCCTTAGGAATTTAGGACAAATGTATTGCTTAAATATATAGTTTTCAAAGATACTATCTGAAATCATATACACGGTACAAAAGCATAGCGTTTTGTATTTCAAGATAATCTATGTGTTCAAGTCTTGTTTAGAAAAAATAATGACGCCTTTCTATAAAAGGAAAGCCCATTGGTGTACCATTGTGAATTTGTATAAAAATAATAAATTCTAACATAATGGACAGATATCCAATTCCACAGAACTATACCAAAAAAAAAAAAAAGTCCTTATATTATAATGCCTTTATACAATCTCTGGAGTGACCACAGTTGGAATGCTGTGCACAGTTATAACTATAGCTTACAAAAGATTCCACAGAGATGGAGAAAATGCAGAAAGAAGCAATCAGTGTAAACAAAATTGGTGGATCAACCCCTTTAGAAAAAAGTAAAAGAGGATTTCAAATTACTCATATTTTGGTATAAATAGTAGGACCAGGTTTTCCTGTGAAGCTGGGTGGTGGAAAATGTAGTTAAGATGGAAGCAATTCTTCATTTCAGCATATTGCCAGGGATGTAACCTGCTACCATAATTCTGATGATCTGAAAAGGAAATTAGAGGAATTTGCAAAGGCCACAAATTATTGTTCAGTATTAGACCCAGTTGGAGAGCCAGTTTGGTGTAGTGGTTAAGGCACCAGGCTAAAAACCAGGAGACCAGGAGTTTTAATTGTGCCAAGCCAGCTGTGTGACCCTGGGCTAGTCACGTTCTCTCAGCCTAGGAAGAAGGCAAGGGCAAACCACTTCTGAAAAACCTTGCCAAGAAAGTTGCATGGACTAGTTTGCATTTGCCAGGACTGAAAAACTGACTCAAAGGTACACACACACATATATACATATAAATACACCTGCACAGACAGAGAACCTTGGAGGTAAGATGAAGGAAGAGTTCCCCAATGGGAGTCTTGCAACCCCAGCATTAATACTGCAAAACTCTCTTCACAATGTTTTCTTGCATCACAGCTGAGTTGGAGAGCTACGGAAGAGCTCCCATGTTAAAAGAACACAGGGCACAACGCTTGTTTCAGATTAGTGCAAATTTTACATGTGGAAGGGCCCTGTAATTGATTGCTTCACTTTGTAAGAACTTCTGGAGTCAATTTCCCTTGTTGCCCATCATTCTAAATGAACAATCTGGCGATTTAGATTGTCCACAAATCTAATCATCTTCTTCATTTCTTGAACATGGATAATAATTTCACCATATCTAATGAAGGGGAGACTAATTAAGGTAAAAGTATTACAATAGCAATGTTACATCATTTGCAATCATGTTTCAGGCAGGATTTTGTTTGTGATTTGTTCTGACTTTAATTTTGCTCTCTGTAAACCTTTGGAACAAAGCAGACTACATTGCTACATTGTATTCCATGTGACTGTGATGTCCCTGAACTGGAAAGAGAGGGAATACATTTATTCTCAATGAAGGATGGCAGTTTTTAAGCCAGTGTGTCTCAACCTTGGCAACTTTAAGCTGTATGGACTTCAACTCCCAGAATTCCCCAGCCAGCAGTAAGTCTGTTGCAGTCACATGATGTCTTGCTGAATGACTGCATGGCTTAGCAACAGAGTTGCTGGTCCCAATTGCGATTGTTAAGTGAGGACTACCTGTAATTCCTTTGAGAAAATAATGTTAGGATTCCAGAGTGGTAGCTATATTCTTCGTTTGCAGCAAAAAAGCAAAACAAGAAAACTAAACAGGTGGGAGGGCAATTTTATTATTACATATCCTTTTGGGGGTAATGTCCATTTCATTAAATGAAGGGATATCTGTGAAATTTTCTAGGCACAAACAGTTGTAGTAGGGTGGGGATATGAGGAGAAAAAGACAGAATGTTGAGAATAAGTAGAATTGCTTTAGGGGCCCAGAGACCTAGAAACAAAACTTATTTATTTATTTATTTCAATTTAGACAGTGCTGGACTCCAAATGACTCTGGGTGGTTCACAAATAATAACATTAAAAACTCATCAAAACCAAAACCAAGATGGGATCTGGGCACAATATACAGACCAAAAAAAAAAAATAGCAAACACACCCAAGAAGGCCCCTGTCTCACCCCAAGGCCTGGGGGAACAACTATGTCTTCAAGACTTTACAGAATCCCAGCAGGGTAACGGTTAGAGATAATGGCTATAATTAAAGTCATGATATATTTTCTGGTCCATCCTGTGCAGCATAACTGTTAGCTTAGAAAGAACATCAACATGGTTCAAAATTAATAGGCAGTTGAATTCATTGTTTGATCTGAAAAAAGAAAATGCTTAATTGTGAGGAGGGAAAAATGTCATAGTGTTTCATATTTGTCTTTAGCATACAAACCGAACTACTAATAACTACTATCCAGCAATGGATCTTAAATTAGCTGTGTCAATTCATGGTACAAAGGGAAATTTCAACATAATCAGGGCAGTTATCATGAACTGACTGTTGTGGCAAAAGTAGATCTTCCATTCAGTTCCATATGGTAGCTACATTATCTATCTATCTATCTATCTATCTATCTATCTATCTATCTATCTATCTATCTATCTATCTATCTATCTATCTA